TGATTACAGTGGGATTTTTGTATATGATGGCCTGTTCGAAGATGCTCAACAAGCGATTGATTGGGCAAAACAGGTTGCAATTAGATCAGGCTTTTGTTTAGTAGTAGCAACTCATAAATCTCAACGGGATGGTAGAATGGATCGCATTTTGAGATGCGACCGTTATCGCAAAAGAGAAGAACGAGATTTCCGTAAAGCGATTCGGTTTGACTCAAAGCGGAAAGGTTGTGGGTGTCAGTTCCGAGTTAAGGTTCGACAACATCAAAGGCGTGACGGTTGGGAAGTGAAGGGTTACGGCAAATGGGGATATCACAACCATGAGCTGATAGCATACAAAGTGGGGCATCGGCAGTTAAGCGGCCTAAGTCCAGCTGCGAAACTAGTTGTAAAAGAAATGAGTGATGCTCAAGTGAAGCCCGCTAAAATATTAGCGTATGTGTTAGAGAAATTCCCCGAAGACCAGCCAAACCGAAGACACATCTACAACGTCAGACAGAAATTGAGGTTTGAACGGTCAGAGGGAAGGAACCCTATACAGCAGCTTCTGCACCAGGCACAAGCACGTGGTTACCATTACTGGTTTGAATCTGACGAAGACACATCGGAGGTAACTCATTTGTTCCTTGTCCATCCTGATTGTGCTGATATGATTTCGTCTTGGCCATCTGTGATTTTGATCGATTCAACGTACAAGAAAAACAAGTACAAGTTCCCACTGGTTGAGATGGTTGGGATGGCTCCAACGAACCAGAACTTTCTGATTGGTTATGCAGTCATGAAGGATGAGACGGCTGCGAGTTACCGTTGGGTGTTGGAAAAGTTGAGAAACTACATCGGCCCAAATGTACAGTAAGTGATTGTGAGGGAGGTCTCTTTGCCCCTATAGCGGAGCTGTTTCCGGAGTCGAGCCATTTACTGTGCACATGGCACATCAACAACTGTGTGAAAGTCAAAGCCTACAATCTTTTCAACAAGAATTTAGTAACAGCAGAGACATTGGTAAATGGTAGGTGGCGGAAGATCATGCAAGCTACCACAGAGGCAGAGTACGATCGAGCCTTGGAAAACTTCAAGGATGAGTACAAGTGGTGCCCGCCAATCGTAGACTATGTGATGCACCAGTGGGTACCTCAGAGGGAAAAGTTTGTTAAATATTGGACAAACCAAGTTCTTCATTTTGGGAACACTACGACATGCAGAGTCGAGAGCGCTCATAGAGCTTTGAAGGACTGGATTGATTCTTCCACGGCTGCTCTGGATACACTGTTTGAGAGAATAAACAAGGCAATTGATACTCAGAGGAACGACATCAAGAACTATCTAGAGGACTCTAGACGGCGACATTGCATGTTGTATGGCCATTTCATATTTAAGATTCTCCATGGTCGTGTGTCACACCACTGTTTGGGGTTGATTCTGAGCGAGCACACCGGGATGAGGGAGTTGGGTGATGAAGTGGCTATTCGGTGCGGATGTGCTATATCAGTGACTCATGGATTACCTTGTGCATGCACCATTCACCGCATAATTACGCAAGACAGGGCGTCGTTACATGTCGATCAGGTTCATCCGTTCTGGCGGACACTCGTTATCGGAGAGCATGCTGTTCCACAGACGGTTCACCGTGAACAGGAGGAGTTGGAGCAGTTTCAGTTGATGTTTGACCAAGTGTCCTCCAGTCACCCTTCGATCATTCGTAGTGCTACGCACATACTTCATGACATGTTCAACACGTCGTGTTTGGATACCGAGGAACCGGAAGGGGTCGACAACCACGGCAGAACAAGAGTGCGTTTGAGTACATTCGTGGTCGTGGTCGTGGCTGTGGTCGTGGCCGTGGCCGTGGTCGTACATCGTCATCAAGTGGAAGCCAATCTTTGTCGTCGGTGAATATGCCCGGCACTGGTCCCACAGATCATACCGAAGTGGTATGAAATTCGTAGAGCAAGCGTGGAGGGTTGGGATGCTTTGTACCATGCCCGCGTGCAGCAGTGGAACAATTTAATTGCCGTGTAGTTTTTCCCGTGTACACCTACCTTTTACTATGAGGCCTTGTTATTACTATATCATTTCTATGTATTCATTTTTCGTATTTTAATTTATATCTTGCACGCACACTAATTAGAACTTGCGCGATACAAACTACAAAGATAATGTAACAGGGAAAAAAACCAACCACAATAATTTCAAATATTACAAACTAAAAAGATAATGTTTCATTTTAAAAACCAACAACAATAATTTCAAATATTACAAACTAAAAAGATATTCTGCAAAATATTAGTAATCCCTTTGTGACGCCCACTGCCACTGCTCAAGGGCCCGTTCCAGATCATCAATAACAGCTCTGCCTGATGCACTCGTCATGCAGTCCCTCTCCTCAAAAAGTCTGTGTCCCAACTGCATCATCTTTCCCATCCACTACGCACAACAAAAAACATGAAACGACGTATTATATATATATATATATATATATATATATATATATATATATATATATATATATATTAAAACAAAGAGAACAACAAATGAAAGATGAGACGTACCACATAAGAGGCAGTGGCAGGTGGCACATCATCATCTTCGGCGTCGTCGAGGTCTTTGATCAACCTCGGGTGCGAGTGCCGGATGTACCACTCCATGTAATGCTGGTCACACATCGCAGTCACCCCAGTTGGCGGCCGCAACAGCTGCTCAATCCATATGCGGGTAGCCATAGGAAAATGCTCCCACTCGGCAATTATGTTTGCCGGCCATTGGACGACGTACTCCTTCGACGACGCAGATCGTACCGCCTTACTGTGGCCTGAGCTTGTTTCCGCTCTTATCCGGAAACAAGGTACACCCGAGAAGAAGAAAAACATATGCAGCCAGCTGTGTGTCTTGCGTCCTACGTGTCGTAGGGTGCAAACATCGCTGCAAGACGGCTGCAATCTTAACGCCGCCGTGATCCCACACACCAAGTGTCACTGTGTACAGCGCAGCCCTATCCACCGCCAACAGCTCCGCTAGTAAATCTGCCTGATCCGCATCAGTGACAACAGATGCTCGGTTTCCCTCTACGGGAATCCCAAGGATGGCCTCGACGTCATGCAACATGATTGTCATCTCACCAAACGGAAGGTGGAAAGAGTTCGTATCCGGCTGCCATCGCTCAACGAAAGTCGTGATCAGCGTCCAGTCAATCCTGTCGTGCATGGTGGCAGGAAGGTGACTCACTCTAGTGCCCCTCAATCGCCCGACCATCTCGCTCTCCTCCGGCCAAGCATCAGCCCAGCTACACAAAAACTTACAAGTCTTTTCCCGGGTTTGGCATTTCAAAATGCCAGTATCCAAAGCCCTCTCCTGGTCATCCCAGATACGGGTAGCGATGTGTCCTAAAAAGCTAGGAATCACACTCCCGTCTATAGGTCCCCCGGCCACCTCACCCCTCACCATCCAAGAATCATTAACGGCCCTCGACCGTTTTCTGCTACCCGCAGACACAGTAGACGCAGATGATGTGCCAGATCTACTAACAAACCTACCATCTCGACCCTTACGCACATCTACCCTGTGCGTCTCATACGTATCATCAAGCCTCTGACTAAATGGATCGTAATCATCATATGGTCCACTCTGATCGTCGACATCCTCATCTACATCATCCTCCTCCTCCTCCTCCTCCTCCTCATCATCATCATCATCATCTTGATCCTCCTCAGAACAGTGCACCCGTTCTCTGCGGGCCGAGGCCGAAATACCACGGGATCTAACGTGTCTGGGCCCCGAGCTCTCCATTGAGTAGATCGTACTTCTCACAACGTCAATATTCTTCCCGCACCAGGTCCAAATTGCGATGCCTTACTCCATGTAAATAACGAAAAATAATAACGAAAGCAAATTAAAAAAAGTCGAAAATAAACACAAAAGCAAATAAACAAGTAACGGAAATAAAATTATAAACATAAAAAATATAAATACAAACAAAACAATATACATATAAACATAAAAAATATAAACATAAACATACACCAAAAACAAAATATATAACCAAAAACAAAAAATATAAACAACAAACAAAAAAATGAAAAACATAAACAAAAACAAAAAAATCAAAAATGCAAAGAAAAAACCAAAAAAATAAAAACTCACAACACTTAAAACAATTATTAAAAAAAAAAGGGAAAATAAAATTTTTTAAAAAACAAAAACAAATTCAAAAAAAAAATAAAACAAAAACAATAATCAGGAACATAAAATTTAAACTTAAAAAAAACAAAAAAATTAAAAAAAAATAAAATAAAATAAAACATAAAATTTAAAAAAAAAACAAAAGGAAAAAATATTTTTTAAAAAAAAAAAAAACAAACATCAGGAACACAAAATAAAAATTTAAAAAAAAAGATAAAAAAACTTAAAAAAAAAAAAACAAAAAAAAATTTTTGAAAAAAAAATTTAAAATTAAAAAAAAAAAAAAAATAGGGGCGCCTAGGCCAGACGTCGTGACGGTGGTGGCGGCGCCTAGCCCAGACACCACTACCACGGCGGCGGCGCATAGGCTAGGCGCCACGTCCGTGGTGGTGGCGTCTGGGCTAGGCGCCGCCACCACCGTCACAGCGTCTGGCCTAGGCGCCTCCTCCGTGGTGGTGGCGTCTGGCCTTGGCGCCCCACCGTCGCCGGAGTTTTTTTTTTTTTTAAATTAAAAAATTTTAAAAATTACCTTCTCGCCGGTAAACCGCCTTCCGCCCACCGCCGGTGCCGCCACTTCCTTGCCGGGCCGCCTCGACATCGCTCGGGAAATATTTTAGAGAGAGAAAGTGGAAGTAGAGAGTAGAGAGAAGAAATTGTGTTTTTTACTTTGAGGGCAAAAGTGTCATTTCACTCTAATTTTGTGGGCTTTATGTAGAGATTTGTGGGCGATGTTTAACAGTTCACTAATTTTATCATGACAAAAATACAAATATAAAAAAGGCAAGAGTGGAATGGAAACGTATTCCCTCCGTTTTTTTTATATAAGTTAGAGATGAGATTGCGCGGAGTTTTAGGTAATTTAATAAAATATGATGTTAGTGTGGAAGATAAGCTTATTATTTTATTGAAAAGTAAAGAGGTGTGAGAGAGTGTGGGGACCACTGAAGGAGTGAGAAATGATACAGTAAGAAAGAGTGGGGATATTAGTGGGTAAAGATATATTATTAATTGTAGGGTTTTTCTACGTTGTAACCTCGTTTTTTTCACTTTTCTATGTTGTGTCCTAACATATATGACTTGCCACGCTGTAACCCTAAAACACGAAAAATGTTTATATGGTGCTCTCGCCGTTAACTTGCTGTTAGGGGTTCCGTTAAAATAAAAAAATTAAACTTTTTTTTATTTTTTGTTTCATTTCCCCTTCCCATTTCCCTTCTTCCCTCCATAACCACCAGAGTAGATCAATCGCGACCACCCTCAATAGCTAGCCCCCTCCCGTCAGCCCAGCCACCACCCCCTCTCCCACCGCCAGTCGCTGCCCAGACCCCTCCAGCCACCAGACACCTCAACTACCACCTCCGTCCCCTAGCCACCTGCCTCGCCAACCATGTCAATCCCCTGCTCGCCACTGTCACGCAACAATAACCAAACCGAACGCCACCAAATACGCACCAAAATAGCAGCCCAAATCGACACCAAAAGTATCAATTTTAGCAGCAATTCACTCAATTTCATCAGCAAATTTCAGGCTACAAAAAAAAGGATGACGTGAGAGGGGAAGCAGAGCATGGGAGGGTGACGCGAGAGGGGAAACACAGCAGGGGGAGGATTTCGTGGGTGGCTGGGTTTCGAGTTTAGGGGTTTCACGGTGGCTGGGTGGTCGGGTTCAGAGGGGTTTCGTGGGTAGTCTGGGGTTTCAAGGTGGTCGATTTTAGGGGTTTAGGGGGGTTTCATGTCAGGTGAGAAGGGGTATGGTTGGGAGTTTGAAGAGGGGGTATGGTGGGGTTGGGGTTTTGGGTTGAGGACTGGTGGTGGTGATCATGGTGGAGTTGCCATTGAAGGTTGGGGGTGGCTGGTTGTGGGCGGGGTGACTGGTCGTAGGCGAGGGTAGCCGGTTCTAGGGGAAGAGATGGTGGTGGAGGGGGTGGCAGCTTGGTCGGAATTAATGGAGGGAGGAAGGAAAGGGAAATTAATTTTTTTATAAATTAAATATTTTTTTAAAAGAAATATGTTAACGGAAGCAACTAACAGGCAAGTTAACAGCGAGGGCACCATATAGACACTTTTCGTGTTTTAGAGTTACAGCGTAGAAAGTTATATATATTAGAGTACAACGTAGAAAAGTGAAAAAATATGAGGTTACAACGTAGAAAAACCCTTAATTGTAAGAAATTTTCAAATATAGAACTCTAGCTTAAAAAAAGAAAAAAATATATATAGTAACTCTAACTTATAAAAAAATACGGAGGGAGTAATTAGCAAACTCTAACAAACCACTAGTAAAACTACATTGTTTAACAACCTATGGCCTGATTTCCTCTGCAAATTCCACCCATCAGTTTTTTAAAAAGAAAACAAAAGATAAAGCAATGCTCTCTCTTTCACCCACTTCAGTCTTTCTCAACCCCATGTCTCTATCTTCTTCATCCTTACAAAATCAAGCTCAAGCTCATCCCTTTAATGGCGGCAATCCTCTTTCCTTCACATCCCCTGCAAAAAAAACCACCGCTCATCACTAAAACAAGCAGACCCAATCATTACTCTTCAAGCCTTTCTGCCAATTCATCAGTTGCAGAACAACAAGAAGAAGAATATCAAGTTTTAACAGCTACTCGAAGCGAATACAACAAAATTGTAATCTTGGAATCCGAAAACTCCAAAGTATTACTATTAGATGATAGTGGAAATGTGCATAGTATACTGTATAAAGGCCAAAAATGGACGAACTCTTATTGGGATGAATTTACCAGTTTGCCTGCAATCATTCCTAAAGGTGGTCCAGTTGCCATTTTTGGATTAGGAGGTGGTACAGTCGCTCATCAATTGCTCCACTTTTGGCCTTATTTGGTTATTGATGGGTGGGAGTTAGATGATGTTCTAATTGATCGAGCAAGAATGTATTTTGGGATGTCTGAGTTGGAAATGACAACAAATAATAACGGAGGCTTTCTTCGAGTTTGTGTAGGAGACGCTTTGTCTCCTACAGCAAAAGTAGCAGGTGGTTATGCAGGGATTATTGTCGACTTGTTTGCTAATGCTGAGGTTCTTCCGGAGTTGGAAGTCGCACAAACTTGGCTAAACATCAAGGATAAACTCATGCCGAATGGGAGGATCATGGTTAATTGTGGCGGGGCGAAAGAGATTTTGAATGGTGGAAAAGAGTGGGAAGTGAACTTGACAATTAAGGCATTGTGTGAAGCATTTGGTCAGGAGCTTGTGAACTGGAAAAAGATGCCTGACAATGAGAGTGGGAATTATTTGGCGTTTACGGGGCCATTACTGGAATTGGATATGTGGTCTCAATCTGTGCCGGAGAAACTTAGCTCTGCCGTCAAGCAATGGAGACCTTGTAAGCCTTTGTCATGAGTATAGAAAAGAATGTCATTCTGAATCACATTGGTTGTATTGAATCTTCAGTGGTCGTTCTTGCTCTTGCATTTTCCACTAGATAGGTATAGAATGATATACTGAGTTAGTATGTTTAATAATATGGTGACGTTTGAAACTCCAATTATTGTATGATGTACAAACTTAGATATAAAGGATACCTTGTAAATTATACAAAAGTATATTGAAGCAGGACTAGAAGAGAAAACATGGATAGCTCACAAAAATGTCAATATTGGTATAAAGTAATAAAAAAATACAAGCATGATTGCATGTCAAACTCAAATTTCAGAAAGCTCAACCAAAGACATGAACATACAGCCACTATAAATACTTGGGCATGCTTCTACTGAACTCACTATACATAGGGAAAAAGAAAAAAAAAAAAAAAAAATCAGTGTAGTAAGCAAGTCTTTTAAGGCAAAATTGTAAACTTTCCACGCGGTATAGACTGGCTTCTCCTCAGCCCTGATATGGATGGATTGTTGCTTTCTTTTAGAAGCTGGTTTTCAATTCGTCCAGAATCTACTGTATTTGCTTGTCCTCTGCATGGAAGAATGCGGATAATTAATTACTTAATAGTCGAGTTAAACATTTGAACATGAACCGGTGTTGGACAAGATTGCCTGAATCCAAGTAACATAGATTACAGGTAGAATCTGACGTCCAATTATAACGCTTTTTTGAGCACCCACCCATCATAATATACTCCTGTTTTTGAATTGGTGAATCTATGCCTTGAGGGAGGTAGTGATGTGTGGTAAAACCTTGCTTTTACAGTTTAAATACACTTTAGGTTGGACCTGAGAAGCCATACCTTGGTTCAAGATACTGAGAACTCTTAGTAGAGTTAGCCCGTAATTTCTTCAACCGAGAATTGCTGCTGTAGACAGGAGAAGCAAATAACCCCTTTTCATTTTCAGGCTCAAAAAAGTCACTCTCTCTAGCCTCCTCAATCTTTCCTCCTGCATGAATGTCAGGCTCATCAACCTTTGGAATCCTAGGCGCTGGTTGGTTCTTGGCCTTAATTTTGCTGATCTCATGCTTGCTTTTCCTCACTGACAACAATTGCCTTGTATTTACAGGCTTAAGTTGTTCATTCTCCTGATCTAATAAGTTGCCTCTTGTGATGCTGCCATCATGCCGGTCAACTAATGGATTTGCTGATGGTGGACCAAGAGGTTTATTCACTGATACTCTAGCTGGATATTGAATCTTTGGGAAAGGTTTTTCTGTCATTTCAGGCTTAAGCCTACTCCTAATGAGAGCTCCTCGGTCAGTAGACATTGACCTCCTCACAGGAGGAGACGGAGACCTTGGATTTCCAGGCTTTATAAGCTTTTCTTCAGCTATAAAAGGCATCTTTGGCATGGTCTCATGTTCCTTTAACCCAGAGGGAAAATGTGACCTCCTCTGCTTCCCTGAAGAACAGCTTCTGACCTGTATACATAACTTTTATTGTTATGACACCATTCTGAGATTTAATTTGTCACATTATTACAACCTCATTATCCTGTCACATTTTCATACCTAAGTAAATACTAGTGTGGCCTAGTGGGTAAGATTGTAAACATCTTATATGTATTAAGGCCGTATAATAGGTTTTATGTAATCTTCTAATTGAAGTGAGGTTATTAATCCTACCTCAAAGGCTTTGTCATCAACTGGTCGCGCAAGCCTTGGCACATGCATTGGTGAAATGGCTCTTGCGTTTTGAGTTTCAGAATTGCTTCTTACATTGGCACACTTTAGATTTTCTAGTTCAGCTTCTTTCTTCTCTAATGTTGATTTCAGATTAGAGATCTGCAATAAGAGAAGAAAGAAATTTAATTTTATCCATGTCCTAATGTTTAAGGCTTGAAAAAATAAAATAAAAAACCAACCTCAGCTTTGAGGTCTCGAAGTTCAGTAGTTTCTTTGTTAGCTCGAGCAGCTCCAAGTTCTATAGAGGCAACCCTCTCTGCAAATTTAAGGGTACTTATTGTCTCTCCAATAGCATTAGATTCAGGATTAATATGCACAAATATCAAAGTTTTAGCTTGTCCTCCTACAAAAGAAGTTACTCATAAGTTAGCAATCAAAGACTGATCAGCCCTCCTACCAGAGAAGGATACTTGTAATTTATACTAAGTACGGAGTATATATTAGTACGGAAAAAAAAAAAAAAAAAAAAAAAAAAAAAAAAAAAAAAAACAGCCACAATGGCTTTCCAAAAAAATTGAGTAATGGAGGTACAATATACTCAAAAAAATATTTTTATTCAAATATATAAGATTGAAGTTTTGATCATGGCATCTTTTAAGCTGGTTACCTAAGGAATCCTGCAGGACTTGAGTAAGCTTGCTATTCCTGTAGGGAATATGAGCACTCTTCTGAGCAAGAGCAGAGATGACATCCCCAAGTGCAGAAAGTGATTTATTTATATGTTGGGCTTCCTTTAGCCTTTCTCCAACAGCCTCGGATTTGTCGACTCTCTCACTGCCTGCTAAATCCACTAGATGAAGACAGCCCCTCAAAATGGACCCAGAGATCAACTCTTTTCCTTGGACATGGATAGTTAAAATACTGCAATACCATAATTGTTTGAGAATGATAGAATGAAACCAAGCAATCATTTTAATGGAGTATGTACCTGTGAGATCGGCTACTCCTTTCGTTCAGAGCAGTTGCACCCACAGCACGATTCTTTAGGCCAACCCGCATCAAGTCAAGAACATCTTGGGTACAGTTAACTTGGACTAAACATGCATCAGGTACATTGAGACCATTGAGCTGAGAATTGTTTCGAATATCTAACGTAGATATAATTAAGGAATCACATTAAAAACGTTCCCGAGTGTAAGTTAAGATGTCTCATAAAAATATTATTGATTAGCTGAGCTATTGAAGGATATCTTCTGGAAGTGCCATCAACAACTAAGAGGTCTCTGACTTGTTCATTGTATATTTCAATCATCTGGACTCCAATATCATATTCAATTAAGTCAACTCTGGATTTCGAAATTTGAAACAGATCTTGCAATGCTCGGTAGTTGACACCCCAAGTATCTTCTGCAGTTAAATCAGGGCCACTCTACACAAAAATAAAAATGCAGTTTTCATAAGGAAGAATTCTAAGAAACCGAGGCAAAATCCAAGCATCAAAAATATTGTAGAGAATGGTGTGAATTAAATGAATTTCATCATTCATATATCCTAAATGCAAGTGAGGATGAATACAAAGTAACCAATACCATAGTGTATGTCTTTCCGGAGCCAGTTTGTCCATACGCAAAGATACAAACATTGAAACCATCTAAAACTGATCTGATTAATGATTGGGTATCTGCATATATTTGCTCTGCGCACAAAACAGATGAATATATATATCAATCCAATAGGTAAGGCCACAAAGTGCCTAGTGTGCTGCATTGCATATTCTTGCGGAAGATGTAAAACTTACGTTGGGTTGCATTTGTTCCAAATACTTTGTTAAACGAGAAGACCTTTCTTGCATCTCTCCCTTGTTTTTGAGGATGGACAATCATTATATTTCCATTTTCTCCAATATGATCAACAGTTGATACCCCATCAGATTGGCCTTGCAAGAACGGCCTTACTCGACAGTAAACTCTAATTGATCCTATGATATAAAACAACAGTTCATGACAATTTTAGTTTCTCAATTTACTTAATCCCAACTTTAAGTAAATGAATGTCAGAGATTATACAAAGTAAGATTACCTTTCAAGTCTTGCACTTGATTGTAAAGCTGACGATTTTCTTCTAAAATCTTGTAGTAAGAAGATGACGCGACCTCAAGACTCCTCACATGATTCTCTGAGCCAATTAAATAATTAAATTAGGGTGATAAGTAGTTAACAGAAAAGGGGTACACTAGTATTGTATTATAGTTTTTAATCAAATGCAGACATATATATATATATATCTCACCTAGTTTTTTAATTTCTTCATCCCATTGTAACTGAGCCCTACTCACTTCATCTTCTGTCTTTTTTAAAGATGACTTGAGTTCCTGAAGATGATAAAAAGAAAAACCAATTAAGTTTTCCATAAATCAATTTGGCAGATTTGATCACTTAAAGAGAACCAAGTCACTGAATGTGAAGACATGAAATTCCAAGAAAGAGATAAATTTGTTTAGAATTGAGTACCACAAGTTGTTTATGTTGCCCATTTACTACTTCCTTGTAGCTCGTAGAATCACTGATTTCATGTCGGATAACCTCTTTTCTTCCCCCACAAATGCAACATTCCGCTGCATCATTGGACTTCATAACAGCCTTCTTGTTGCCAAGATACCGTGAAATTGCTTCCAAGAATTCTTCATGTGTAAAAGATGCTGCCTCACTCTTCAACTTTTTCTTCAACATATGCCCAAGCTACAACATTTATCATGCAAACCTTAAGAAAATTATTCCTATTATATATTTATATGTGCCAAAATATAAGCTCCATTAAAATTCCGAAACTCTACCTGAAGACCTTGAGTCACAATCACTGATGAAAAATCCTTGACAACCTTATGAATCACGGTATCTATTACCTGCACATTTATTCACCAACGAGTACAGTTGGTGTATAGTGAAAATAAAATTAAGAGTTTGTATTGCATCACCGATAGATTACACTTGCACGAAGCATAATTGTCTGTCCGGCAGTGGTTATCCCTTTGCCATCACTTTTTATAGACTTCCAGTCACTTAATTAGCAAAAGTCTGTTACTAACTTCCATTTGTGTCATTTGCTACACTTGACAGTTTGTGTCATTTGATAAAATTTGGTTCACAACTCAAATATAGTTACTACGTATGATTTTGGTGTCACTGGTTAAATTTACGAATCACATACTAGGTGTTTTACATGTCAATTGCAAGTAGTAAAGCACAAAATTTAGCTAGCTAAAGGAGCCATGATTCCCCTATCTCTTCCCTTACCTTTTCAGCTAAACATCTGATTGAAAGCAAACTAGTACGGAGTAATAAAAATAAAAAAAAAAGACATTTCATGGTAACACACTAAGAGAAACCTAACTAAAACAGAAGAAATCTTACCTACCATTGAATTCAAAGGCAAATCCTCTATTCCATTCTTCTCACTGACATAAGCTTGCAATATCCCAAG